TTCTCCAAAACTCGCCGAACGATTTCTCCAAATCACCGACCACAATTTCGCCAAGCAATTTTCTCCAAAATCTCCAAAATCGCCAAACAGTTTTTTCTCCAAAACGATTTATCCAAATCGCCGACACATTTTTTCACCAAAGATCGCCTAATAAGTGTCCTCCTAAGCACCGAGCACGTTTCCTCCAACATGCCAACGTATCTCGCCAAACGTTTTCTCCAAACCACAGGAAACAACCCAGTCTCTGATCCCTCCCTACACATGCCACGGGCTCCGCGCTCTGCGTTATGGGTGGTCGGCTGCGGTTCCTTGGTCACGCCTTTTTCTCGTACACGCGCACGGTCTTCGTGCTCGACGTTACGGACTATGAGCTGTCTAAGGCCGAAAGCTCAGAACAGAATTAATTGCTCGGTCACCGCTTGCACTACCTCTATCCCAAAATTATTTCGACAGCTGCTGAGCAGCACACGTTCCGCGCCATTTTCTATGGAGAAGACCCAATTTCTGATCTCTCCATAAACGTGCCACGGGCTCCGCGCTCTGCGTTATGGGTGGTCGGCTGCGGTTCCTAGGTCACGCCTATCCCTCTTACACGTGCACGGGCTCTACGCTCGACGTAATAGAGTATGGGCTAGCCGAGGCCATAGGGGTTGGTCACAAACTAACTGCTTGAATGCTACTCCAACTACGCATAATCTCGACGGAATTTAAACTACCGAGATTTTTTTTCGCCGACAAAACCGCATGCACATACTATTTATAACATCTGCCAAGTATATAATTGTTTTTACGCATTCGCGCGTTCTAACTACATTGTCCAGGAATTGCAGATGATCTCCGCCAGGCCAATCATTGTGCTTCGCCACCACCGTCTATTTCGCCGAACAAGTCTATATCGCTTGCCAACTTCTTCGCTGCGTCCTCCACATCATCCTCCAGCTGCTGGGTCTCCGCATCGCTCAATCCTTCGGCATACCCGCCACCTATCGACTGAAGGTCAGCGGTTGGATAGTGGGACCGTACCACAGCAAGAACATGGGTAGCGGCGGAGGCAACGACATCGCGGTTGAAGCCCTTAAAGCTTTCCCACGCTATCTTGCATCTTTCGACGACGACGTCCGGGCGTGTTGGCCTGCCGTCGGGCCGAGGAGCTATTTCTGCCTCGACGCAGTCGAGCACCGGCGTGATTCCGGCAACTACAGCGTCAAATCTATCTCTCTGCGTCCGGGCGTCCTTCTCCAGCACGTCGAATTGCGCCTTGACCCTCCGACGGTAGTCTGCAAGCATTGTGAAACTCGATCAATCAAGAAAGTTGCTTCATCAGAAAGCCCGATCAGGGAGTACTCACCGTCTAGTTCTTCGGCCAGCTTGTTTGCTCGACCTGTCTCTTTCTCCTTTTCCTCTCGGAGTTGTCTAAGGGCATGGTGCAGCTGTTCAAGCTCCACATCTTGCTCTACGAGTATAACAATTGACACCAAAAGTAAGCATATCCAACTATGCAAAACGCTTGTGTCGATCATACATACCTTTCTTCTGTTCGGAGATTTTTTGCAGCTGTTCCAACTGCTCGGAAGCATCTTTTAGCTACGTGGAGGCAGTGGCCAGCTGTTCGGATTGGCTCCGCAGTTGTTCTTTCGCAGCTGCCAGCTGCTCGGATAGGACCCCTTTCTGGTACTCCAGGTCCCGCGCGTTGGATTCAGTGAGGTCCCGTTCGCGCTGGGACCTTTGGGCATTTTTCTCCAGGAGCTTCATCGCTTCCTTTAGTTTCTGGTTCTCTTCGGCGAGGGGTTCCATCCTCTTTATCAAGTGGATCCGGTGCTCGGCAGTCCGAGTTATCCCCTGAAAGTTAACAAGGACAATGATGGCGCTCGTTCTCCAACTCCAAAGACGAATACTAATGATTCAACACTAACCTCGACCTGTTTTACAACTCCGGCAAGGGCGGATTTCAGCCGCTTCATCTCCTTGGGGGTGTCCTCCTCTTCGATGACTACCACCTCGTCACCGTGCTTACGGAAGATTCGGACGGATTGGGTTTAAGGTTCAGCATGGATGATCTCCTCCACCACGTCCTCCTCTTCCATAGCAACTGGTGGCACCACTGGGGGACTCTTTGGCCGGATTACGGGTCCGACCGTGTCTTACGCCGCTTCAGGAGGCGTTGTTAGCTCCTCATGCGCCTCTGGTCCCGACGACCCGTGCTCTGGTGCGATACCGGCAGCTCCTGTTTTAGATCTAGAGTGCCCGGCAGTACCTGCCATTGCTTCGCGTGTAGTCGCAGACCCGTCCTCCGCCGACGCCGACCTCTCACCATCTCCAGGTCCACCCGTAGTGGTCGTTGTTTCCTCCACCAGCTGCTGAGCACCCGGAGACCCCGACACGGGGCCTCGACGACATGAGCCGTTTCATGTGGCTCTCCCTCCTGCGCACCAAGGCGGATGCACCCACCGCGATCATGGCGTTCCAAGCCCGCGTCGAGCGTGAGACTGGAAAGAAGCTGAAGGTGCTGCGTACAGATCACGGCGGTGAGTTTACCTCTGTCGAATTCGGGGAGTACTGTGCAGGCATCGGGGTGCAGCGCCACTACTCGGCGCCGTACACGCCCCAGCAAAACGGGGTCGTCGAGCGGCGAAATCAGATGGTCGTGGGCACCGCGAGAAGCTTGCTGCGTGCTCGGGGCATGCCTAGCTAGTTCTAGGGGGAAGCGGTTCACACCGCAGTTTTCCTCCTGAACCGAGCCCCCACGAGCGCGCTCGACGGCATGACGCCGTACCAGGCGTGGCACGGAAGCAAGCCACCGGTGCACTTTCTGAAGGTGTTCGGGTGCGTGGCCTACGTCAAGCGCACGCGACCTCACCTCCCCAAGCTCGATGATCGCGGCGACAAGGTGGTCTTCATCGGCTATGAAGCAGGGTCCAAAGCGTATCGCTTCTACGAACCCACCGAGCGCGCGTCGTGATCTCCCACGACGCCGTCTTCAACGAGCAGGCACGCTGGGACTGGGACAGCCACTCCGATAGCCTCAGCTGGGAACCGTTCGTCGTCGAGGAGGAGTACGAGCTGTGCCCATCCTCCACTACCACACCGACAACGAGCCTGTCGCCGCGAATGCCCTCGCCACCGCCTGCGGCCATGACGTCGCCCGCGCCAGCGACACCACTTCCCACTTCACCGGGCACGCCTGCAGCGGTACCATTCGAGTTTGCGACGCCACCCAGCGTCGATGACAATCTTGATGCAGATGATGATGGGGAGGCGCCGCGTCGGTACAGAACCATGGAGAACATCCTCGGCGCCGGTGAGGAAGTTGAGCTGCATGCCATCAGTGTAGAAGAACCCAAGTCCTTCAAGGAGGCAGGGAACGATCCGCACTAGGCTGCAGCGATGGAGGAGGAGTTGAAATCCATCCGCGACAACGACACTTGGTCACTCGTCGAGCTTCCGGCCGGCCACCGTCCCATCGGCTTGAAGTGGGTGTACAAAGTCAAGCGGGATGAGAAGGGGGACATCATGAAGTACAAGGCCCGCCTCGTCGCGAAGGGCTATGTACAGAGGCCCGGCATCGACTTCGAGGAGGTATTCGCCCCCGTCGCGCGTCTGGAATCGGTGCGGCTGCTCCTCGCCATCGCCGCCCACCATGGCTGGTCCGTCCATCATATGGACGTAAAGTCGGCGTTCTTGAACGGTGATCTCCAGGAGGAGGTTTACGTTCAGCAGCCGCCCGGCTTCATCGACGACAATCACAAGCACATGGTGCTCCGACTCCATAAGGCACTGTACGGCCTCCGTCAGGCACCAAGGGCGTGGAACCAGAAGCTCGACGCGTCGCTCATCTCCCTCGGCTTCAATCGCTGCATCAACGAGCACGGGATGTACACCCGTGGCCATGGAGGAGGCCGCCTGATCGTGGGTGTCTACGTCAACGACTTGATCATAGCAGGCGGTGATGATGGCGCAGTGAAGAAGTTCAAGCGCAGATGCAGAGTACCTTCCGCATGAGCGACCTTGGCCCGTTCTCCTACTACCTCGGGCTGGAGGTCACTCAGGGCGCCGAAGGGATCACGCTCCGGCAAGGGGCGTATGCCGCGAAGATATTGGAGAAGGAAGGTATGGCCGCCTGCAATCCCAGTGCGACACCCATGGAGCTCAAGCTGAAGCTGCTCGAGGAGGGGCCGACGCCGACTGTTGATGCCACCGAGTACCGCAGTGTCATCGGGAGCTTGAGGTACCTTTGCAATTCCCGGCCCGACCTAGCGTTCTCGGTGGGATACTTGAGCAGGTTTATGGAGGCTCCACGGCAGGAGCACATGGCGGCGGTGAAGCGCGTGCTGCGCTATGTGGCTGGCACCATGCACTGGGGAGTGCACTATCACCCCGCCAAGAAGAAGACTGCTGCGCCCACATTGTTGGGGTACTCCGACAGCGACTTGGCCGGCGACATCAACGATCGCAAGAGCACCAGCGGCTTGATGTTCTTCCTCGCCGGCGGTCCGGTTGCGTGGCAGTCAGCGAAGCAGAAGGTGGTCGCGCTGTCATCTTGCGAGGCGGAGTACATCGCGGCCGCGGGAGCTGCGTGTGAAGGAGTTTGGCTGGCCCGGTTGCTGGCTGAGCTCACCGGCGACAAGCTGATCACGCCCAAGCTCTTGGTGGACAACAAGTCCACCATCGCACTCATGAAGAACCCTGTCCATCACGACCGGAGTAAGCACATCGACATCAAATTTCATTTCATCCGGGAGTGCTGCGACAACAAGCTGATAGACGTCGAGTTCGTCAACACCGAGCTGCAGCTGAGCGACATTCTCACGAAGGCGCTCGGCCGTGTTCGTTTCCAGGAGCTCCGTCATGGGATCGGCATGGAGAAGTTAGCTTAGGTGCTCAGGTCTTAGGAGGAAAATGTTAGCAATAATCCCTGAGCATGTTCTTTACTATTGTTAGCTAGTTAGTTTCCTCCCTGTTTTAGTCGTAGCTGAAACTGCGGCACGTCCCAGGCCATCGGGATGGCGGTGACCGCGCACGAACGTGCCGCGACGTTCTCGGCCACTAGGGCCATGTTTAGTTTCCCTGTTACTTTAAATTCAGCAATCAAAGATCAGAAAAGCTGCCGCTTAGCAGCACAATTTGCGTGTGTCCACTTCGTGTTCGTGTGCGTAATCCTCTCGATCTCTCGCCGGTTCGGATTCTATCAGCTGCCGCATCGACGTGCGTGTGCCCCTCAGGGCGTTCGTCCTCAACCTCTCGCGCACGGGCGAGGGTGTCATCAGAGATAGGGTGACGTTCCTGGTCACTGGCCGAGACGGGTACACGTTCCGGGCGAGCGACCTGGAGCAAGGCATTGATGCTGGTGAGGTCGCCCCAGCTCTGCTGGACTGGGCCATCCCTGACCGCCCGAATTGCGCACTGGCTGTGACGAACAGGGCTGGCTATGCCTGTGTCAGTAACAACAGCGAGTGCCAGGACTCACCGATTGGTGGCTACGTTTGCCACTGCTCCCAGGGTTTCTTCGGCAACGCCTACGTCGTCGATGGCTGCGTACCAAACCAAGGTAATCATCCTCTCCATCTATGCCTCTTCTCGCCACTCGAATGTCTTGCCAATTGCTATTGAGCAACAAGGTAATCCTCCTCTCCATCTATGCCTCTTCTCGCCACTCGAATGTGTTGCCAATTGCTATTGAGCATGGTCGTCTAAATTGCTTCTGCACCTCAAACAGTTTATGGTTCAAGACAGCCGAAGGCGAATTGTCCGACTAGGTGCGGGAATGTGAATATCCCATTCCCCTTTGGCATGGAGCTGGGCTGCTTCGCAAGGATGCATCTCTACCTGGCGTGTAACCCGGGGCCAACTCCTCCCATCCTCCAGATGACTGACCATTCGGCGGTCACTGACATTTCCATCGACCAAGGCATCTTGAGAATTCAGAAGCTCTCTGACCCAGGCGGTTTCCTGGACGGTCGGGACAGCACGTTCTACGCCTTCTCCGAAGAGTCTGGTGTGGTGAAGTGGGCTGTGGATAACTCGACTTGCGAAGATGCAATGACGAACAGGGACCAGTACATGTGTGTCAGCACTCATAGCGAGTGCATAGAAGTCACGGACAACAGGACGAGCAGGCATGTGGGGTACAGATGTATATGCTCCTCTGGTTTCGAAGGGAATCCTTATATTGAAGATGGATGCACAGGTAAGTTTCAGGAATGCTTAATTGTCATTGCCATGTTCCTGGATAGTTATCTATTTTCTCCGTCTCATGGTACGACGTGCAATCTGCAGATATTGACGAGTGCTTGCAGCCAGATAAATACATTTGCCATGGCGTCTGCCGGAATAGCCTTGGAAGCTTTTCTTGCACTGAGTGTCAATATGGAACAGAGTTCGACACTGCTGCAAGAAAGTGTAAAGCATCCAGCACTATTTTAGGTAAGCCGTCTTGAGCAAATTCAGGTCGCTGTTGATCACCGGATTCACTTTTTTTAGCACTTCTCCCATATTTCAAGTACCTGATTTTTTTGTTATTGTTCAAGCAATAGGTAATTTTGTCATTGTTTAACTATAGAAAAAAAATTGTGAAATGTCTCCTATGAGTTGTTCTTTTAATTGTATTAGTTGGTTGTATAAGATTATTGCCTAAAATCATCTCAAAATTGGGACAAATATAACAACTCCTTTTTTTTTACTGTAAACGACATATGCTCACAAGTCCGCAACCAATGCAGGTATCACCATTGGAATCAGTTCTGGTGGTGGCCTTCTATTTCTTGCAGCAATCGCTGTTATTCTCAACCGAAGATGGAAGAAAGGAGTCCAAAACCGGCTCCGGAGGCGGTACTTCCGCAAGAACAAAGGCATTCTCCTTGAGCAGCTCATCTCCTCTGACCAGAACGCGAGCGACAGCACAAAGATATTCTCCCTGGCCGAGTTAGAAAAGGCAACGAATAACTTCGATCAAGCCCGTGTGGTTGGCCACGGCGGCCATGGTACGGTCTACAAAGGCATCCTAATGGATCACCCCGTCGTTGCCATCAAGAGGTCGAAGCTGGTGGCTAACGCAGAGATAGACGAGTTCATCAACGAGGTGGCAGTCCTCTCGCAGATCAACCACAGAAACGTGGTGAAGCTCCACGGGTGCTGCCTTGAGTCCGAGGTTCCTCTGCTCGTCTACGAGTTCATCTCCAACGGCACACTGTATGAACTTCTGCACGGTCAGCGAAACAATGGCAGTCTGTTGCCACTGTCATGGGAGGAACGCCTAAGGATCGCCACAGAGGTTGCCGGCGCGCTCACGTACCTGCACTCGGCGGCTTCCATGTCGGTACTTCACAGAGATGTCAAGTCCATGAACGTGCTCCTGAACGACAGCTACACTGCAAAGGTGTCAGACTTTGGCGCGTCCAGGTTGATCCCGATCGATCAGACGCACCTGGTCACCGCCGTGCAGGGCACCTTCGGCTACCTGGACCCGGAGTATTATTATACAGGCCAGTTAACTGACAAGAGCGATGTCTACAGCTTCGGAGTGATACTTGCTGAGCTCCTGACAAGAAAGAAGCCGATTATCGAGAAGGAGAATGGCGAGAAGCAGAACCTGTCAAACTACTTGTGCGCGGCGAAGGAGAAACCTCTCGAGGGCATAGTGGATGATCAGATTTTGGAGGAAGCGAGCAAGGAAGCAATCATGTGCTTTGCTCGCCTGGCGCAGGAGTGCCTGGATCTGAGAAGAGACGCGAGGCCAACCATGAAGGACGTGGAGGTGAGGCTGCAGCTCCTCAAGAGATGCACTGCTGCTCTGAGACCGAGAGGAGACGGCGAGTTTCGTCCTCCCGGCGAAACAGGGCGAGGCGATAGGCGCCGGGGCGTGGTTCCGGTGACTGGTCAGGACGGGACACGTCAGTACAGCCTAGAGCAGGAGTTCGCATCGTCCCTGCGCATACCACGCTAGGTTGAAGTCATCATTATGCCGTTGAGAGTATTTTGGTGCCTCTGCTGCTATGGGCTGTCATTTCTAGAGCAAAAACCTAACAGAAAATGCTATATCACACCCATGTATTTTTGGTTGTGTTGGCACACGTTTTTTTGTGGCCGTTCGATGGGCATCGTGTGTGTATTTGCGTCTGTCCGTTTCTTTCTCTGATTTGGATGGCCCACCTTCGGTACTGTTTCAAATTGTGAGTCGCGCCTGTCTGGTTGCCTCATTTCCCCATCGTCTTCCTCCCCGCAACGCTCTCCCTGGTTGGAGAGGCGATTCTTCCCAGGTTCGTTGCTTCAGCTTTTTCTTCCTTCGATTCTATGGAATCTTCGTTGTTTGGGTTTGTTGGATCCGCATTCCGCTGGGCCACCATCGATTCTGCTGCCGCCGAGTCGTCCTCCCTTGTCAGTTGCGTCGCCAGCGACGACGACCACCGTGGCGAGGTGCTGCAGCCGGCCCGCCCGTTCAAGTCCCCACGGCTCGCCTCCACCTTCGCTTCCCACGTCACGCCGCCGACCCCGCGTTGTTTCCTGTACCCCCGCCCCGCCCGCCCTGACTTCTGTAGTTGGTAAATCCGGCGCCAATGGATCCGCATCTGGCGCTGTAGGTACCTTGGTGATTCGAAGTCATACGTGAAGTCATCCATGGATCCGGTGCCGATGGCCCCTTGTTTAGTTGTGATATGGTTGCCGCAGGGGTTGTGGCTGTTGATGTGGTTGCGGTGAAAGTGCGGGGCGCATGGGCTTTGTCGCGACAGCAGCAAATGATCGTCCGCGGCCGTGGTTCCTTGCTCGGACGGCAGGTATGGCGGCTGGGGGCGTTTGGTTGATCTTTGTTCAATGTCTGAAGTGGGTGCATCAGGCATTGGTGCTTGCCCAGCTGCTTCCTGATGGATATACTCTGGGCGCATTGCACGAGCATAGCTCGAAGTGGAAGGTCCCTAAACATCTAATTCAGGTTCTGGGCGTACTGATGTAGCTTAGCTATTGATGGAGCATTTACGTTGTAGGAAGTAGTAGTGCTAAGTAGTATGTTGTGTGAATGTGTCAGTGGTGGTGTCTGCTTGGTAGACTAGGATTATTACTTGTTACCAAGAGGTGAGCTGAGCAAACAGTGATCTGGAATGGCTGCTACTTTCAGTTTCAGCATTTGTTGTCCGTACGTTTTGTTTGGCGATGAGTTGGTAGCGCGGCTCAGTCTCATGCATGCTGCTCTGTAATGGTAATTGTATTGTACTGCACAAGTCGATAACTGTATTGTATCACTGATCTATTTCTTTTGGGTAGATCTCGTTTTGGTTGTTCTTAGGTATTGTTTATTGAGGACCACATTTGCTATCAGTGTCACCACGGTTTGTCTTTCTGTGTTGCTCTGAAATATCTAAAAAATTATTCAGAAACTATAACATTGCTGCTCCATGTATGTTTCAGTAATCTAGTTCAGAGCAGTTGTTTGCATAGCTTCACTTTTTGAGATGATTCAGAAGACAGTTGTCATTATTTGTTTCGTTGCTCTGAAGGTGGAGGCAGGGCAGCAGACTATTTGGTCAAAATGGAATTAGGATTGGTCAAGCCACTCCTAATTGATTGGAGTGGAGATTAGAGTGATGGAGTAGGTTAAGTGCAGTGTGAACACTATCTGTATTTTATGGGTTGCTTCAGAAGTACTATAGATTAGAGTGATTTTGATTTTTGTGTCTTGGTGCAATATTATTTTTTCAATCTACAGTTTAATTGGACTAGTTTTATCCTTCTGATTGATAGTTTCATTGCTATCTGGATAGTAGGAGCTCATATCTTTGAACTGTATGTTGCATATATTATACAATAAAGATATGTTTAGTATGCATCTCTTCATTGCACATTTACTTTACTAGTAGTAAATTGCACAGTTTGATTTCTGCAATTTTGTTGTTTAACATGTGCAATATCTAGCACTATATATATATATATATATATATATATATATATATATATATATATATATATATTTGCCTCTAACCTGGTTAAGTGCTTGTTTACTCCTGTCTTGCCTAAGGCGATTTCATTGGCGATGCCTCGATTGGTCCGGAAAACTCGCGCTGCCCCGTCGTGCGCTGTTGAAGGTGTGTACTTGATCCCTTTTCAACCTGTATTTGGGCTGTTTAGTTTTTTTTGTATTGCTCTGAAATGCCTGAAACATTATTCAGAAACTAAAATTGTGAATATGAGGACATGGTGTCTGCTTGCTCTCTCTGATCTCCTAGCAGCGTTCTTCACTGAGCATTCATTTCTATGTTCCAGTTGGTCTGAGTTTGTCTTTTTGTGTTTAGTAATATGTGAACTGGTATGAATTTAATTATGAATATGTTGTTGCTTTAGTAGTCCTTCATAATTTTTTTGAGCTGCACAATTTTCTTCACCTACATCTCATTATTACAGTGAGGTTGGAGTGGAGTCATCCAATGAGCTTGCATCTTTTTTTTCAAACACTATATGATTGACCTTTATTATTTTTTATTTTATAGCAATGGATGATGTCGAGTTGCCTTCGGATGATGAATCCGCAAATGGTCAAAGTGAAGAAGAGTATGATATCAACTCTGACGAAGATAACAACTATGCTTCTCTTGATATGGGCAAGGTAATAAGTTTTCTTCATTTTTTGTTTTTTATGTAGTTGTGTATTATAAAATGATATATCTTGTTCCCTTTTCAGGATCCAAATTTGTCAGAGGATAATGTTGATCCTATTGATCTTGTGAATGCTTTCGAGCAAATAAAAGGAGTATGTTCTGCCAACTGTATCTGTTCTTGTTCTTGTGTGCATATCAAGTGTATGTGTTCTTATTCTTGTGTAGGAGTTTTTACTTTTGATCAATGGCAGTTATTGTTTGTTAAAATAATTTAAGAGATGGAAGTAGGCCATGTATCAGCTGGTTCAGTCATGACTTGCCACTAGTTTTTTGAGGCTACTACTAGTATTTAATGAGTGACGCCTTCATCTTTGTCAAAATATACAAAATTCTTGAGTCAATTAATATATAATGATTTCTAAAGAATTAATGCTAGTCCTATGCTACTCTGTTACTTTTTCTGTGTCTTGTGCATCTGCTTAACGTATCATTTATCCAGTTGTTAATTTACTCCAATCAGTCCATGGCACTTTTTTTATGAACTAACTAACTAATCAGCATCAGCTGCTGCAGTAGTAAGATGCATGTACTATTATATGTTTACTTGTGCATAGCTGTTTGTATTGAATTTTTAAATCTTTTTGTATATTGTTATTTTTAGTTTGCTCAGTATCTTAAGAAGAAAAAGAAGTCAGAACGCTCTAGAGATCAGAGGCATACTGGAAAGGTAAATTCAGCAGCAAGTGCCTTTTTTGACACCATGTTTAATGATTTTTTTTGTAACTAGAAAGTTTTTTCCATCAGTTTTCAGAATATTAGAAATAATAAAGCCAGTGCCAAAGGAAAAGAAATTATACGTGATAGTCCATCAACTTCAGTAAGTAGTAGGTGTAATAGCAAGTATTTTGGAGACATAGTAAGAGAGTTGGATGCGTCTAAAATGAAGATTATCAGAGATCATGGGTTTGTGATCTTGCTTGAATATGATGGTTGCTATGCACCTAAAGCATTTGCGCAATGGCTCGCTAATCAAGCTGATTTAAACTGTGGTGATATAGTTATTGGAGGGAAAATCATCCCTTTTTCTGCACAGTCAGTCCACCTATTCTTAGGGATCCTGATTGGTGGTGAAGAAATCAACCAACATTATGATGATTCTGCAAAGTCCAGATTTCTTAAAGAAATCAAAGAGGCTTCTCTTCCTATCACGAAGACCTTTGGTGACAAGTTGTTACATGGGAATTTGTCCGATGATGACGTCTTCCGGTACTTCATGGTTGTTGCTTTGTCCAGTTTCCTCTGCCCAAATTCAAGTACTCTTCCTAGCCCCAAGTACTTAGGAGCTTTGATTGATGTGAAAAGTTTGAAAGATTGGGACTGGTCGAAGTTTGTTTTTTAATGGTTGTGGTCGTCAATTTCGACCTACAGGAAAAAGAAAAGACAAACAATCGGTGGCTGCCGATACTTCTTTGCAATAAGTCTTGTCCCATTCCTCTTTTCTTTCCTACTCATTCCTTTGTCATGTACATGTATTTTATTTACTGATGTATTTATAACTTGTTTGTAGGCTTATTATTTAGTTTTTGTTAACTTTGGATCTCGTAAGCCTGTCCCCCAAAATTTGCCAAGAATTATTTGTTGGAAAGATTCGATGATCAAAGATTACTCTTCATATGATTGTGTTTCTAGTGATAAGTATGGAAAGCGTCCGGTAAGTGTTTGAGGTCTTATGAGTGTTTTTTATTGTTTTTGGTCATATTCAGCTTACTGAGTCCCTCGCTGACTGTAATATATGTTTTTTGTAGGTGAAATCTATTGAAGAAACATGTTATGCTGAATCATTGTTACTGGATGATGCTTGTGCTTCTTTTAGGAAGTCTCTGGATACTGATTGCTATTTCCTTTCTCCACAAGTAGGTGCCTTGTTCAGTATGTTGATGAGCATTCCCTAACTTGCTTTTTTTTACTGAATCTATGTTTAGCTGCTGATTCTTTTTGTATTGGGTGTTGGGTTACATGATTGATATGGGTACTATGAATTTGACAGGATAAAGATGCTCTGTGTAAAATTTTCCAAGAGCATCACGCAGCAAATAGTTTTAGGAGCCTTGACAAACTTGTCATCTCAATGTTCAAGGAAATGTATGAGCGCCAAGGTCATGGAGTTCATGATGATCCAACGCCTGGGAACTCTGATGGCAGAATCCCTTCTACAGCTAATGTTAGTGAGGAAGATTCTCAACCAATATTTGATGATCATGCAGCCCCAATGCGTGATGAAGATTATGAACCAATGTGTTAAGGAGCTGGAATTCCAATGCCTGCTGGTTCAACTACTAATATTGTGGAAGATGTGGCT